TATAACAGATTAAAGTTAATAACACTGCAGTCATGTGCCAAACATTCTTGAAAGATATAGCTCTTCTGTATCTCTTTTTTTTTTTTTTTTTTTTTTGAACAGTGGGAGGGTTATTCTCTCTTGGCAACATGCTTTAGAAGTACTGTGCCTTTTGCCATGCTCCTGCAAAATCTTGACTTCAATGGAAATCATTCCGAGGGAAATCTCAGGAACAGCCAGAAACCTTCTTGTGAAAAATAAAATTTGGAAACGAATAAGTAACATGTTGTACAGAAAATTATGAGAAAAAATAAAAGATGCAATGATCTGCAGATGCTACAAAGGAGAAGACTGGAGGTTTCAAACAGGCAGATGTGAGAGGCAGACGTGTATGTTTGGTAGCTGTTAGAAACCATTGGTAAGACTATCACTTTACACATCCAAAAAGTGGAACAGCTTGATGATGTCCAAAGTCAAGGATATAAGTTATGGACCTGAGATGAAAATGCTCTTAAAAGAATGACATAATCTTTTGTTTAATGACAAATGGCATTTTCAAGTTCACTCTGGAATGGACCAAAGAAGACTGTGCTAGGCTGGATGGATGCCCAGAAAAATGGAAGCTGAACTGGTATGACCAAGAAAAGGAAGGCACAGTTGTAACAATAAAATTAAAGTCACAGAGTCACAGAACTGTTAAGGATGGAAGGGACCTCTGGAGATTGTCTTGTCCAACCCCCTTGCTCAAGCAGGGCCACCTGCCCGTTGCCCAAGATCATGTCTAGATGTTTTTTTAATATCTCTAAGGAGGGAGGAGACTCCACAACTTCTCTGGGCAACCTGTGCCAGTGCTCAGTCACTCTCACAGTAAAAAACTGTTCCCTGATATTCAGGGTGAACCTCCGCTGTTTCATATTATGCCCATTGCCTCATGTCCTGTCACTGGGCATTTCTGAAAAGAGCCTGGATCTTTGCCAGCCTCTTTTCACCCTCCCTGCAGGTAATTATATACATTAATAAGATCTCCCCTCAGCCTTCTCTAGGCTAACGGTCCCAGTTCTCTCAGCCTTTCCTCACAGGAGAGGTCATCCAGTCCCTTAATCAACCTTATGGCCCTTTACTGAACTCTCTCCGGTATGTCCATGTCTCTCTTATATTAGGGAGCCCAGAACTGGACACAGCACTCCAGGTGTGGTCCCATCAGTGATGAGCAGAGGGGAAGGATCACTTCCCTCGACCTGCTGGCAATGCCTTGCCTAATGCCACTCAGGATAACATTGGCCTTCTTTGCAACAAGGGCACATTGCTGGCTCATGTTCAACCTTGTGGCCACCAGGACTTCTACCATGCTGCTTTCTGGCTGTGCAGCCTCCAGCATATCATGGGGTAGTTCCTCCCCAGGTGCAGGACTTTGGACTTCTCCTTCTTCAACTTCATGAGATTCCTGTTGGCCCGTTTGAGGCCCCTCTGGATGGCAGCATAACCCTCTGGCATATCAGCCACTCCTCCTGGTTTGAGGTCATCTGTAACCTTCCTGAGGGGACACTCTGCCCAGATCATTAGTGAAAATGTTAAACAGGACTGGACCCAGTATTGATCCCTTAAGGCTTAAATTAAGTTTGGGATATTTTTACTGTTAGCAAACATTCATAAACTCTCTGAGAAACAGACCACACATGGATACTGGCCTTCTGGATCTGAGGTTTGCATGATAAATAGGGAAAAACTCCTACAAGAAAAGAAGGAGAGAATATTTGGAGAGAGTCATATTATCTTCCTTTCCACATTTACCAGGAAAAACTGGTAAATAAAGGCATAGCAAAGCATTAAGGTCATGAGAAGACGTAACTGATTATTAAGGCAATTTTTGGGTAGTCAGTACAGAAAGTGAAAGGATTCAGCAATTCTGACTGGGGAGATGCTTGAGTTAGAAATAAAAAGGAACAAAAATTCTGAAACAGATACTTAGTTTACACAGGGGGCCTAAGCAGACAAATGGAAGAACCTGACTAGCCTGAAATAAATGTAGTAACATTGATAATGAAAACATGATGGGATAACAAGTATTGGCAGGAAAGATCAAAACAGAGATAGATGTGCTATGTAGCAGATGTGAGACACTTTTATATGAAAGCTGTTTATTCTTTCTTCGTAATCTGTTTGGATTAATTCATCTTGAGGATGGATAGAAAAACATTTTAATCACAATAATATTGGGAAATAATATTAAAATATGTTGAAACAATATGACTCATTTAAATATTAGGACACCAATATTTTCTTTTGTATATGTAGATGTCTACCGCTTGGCTAGATCTTTTCATTCCTACTACAGGCAGTGCAGGTCTAATTAATGCAGTCAGCTGAGTATAAAGTTATATCTAGATTTATCTAAGTAGGCCTCTTTGGTGGAATAGTTGTGTAAACAAAGAGACTTGCAGGTGTTTCAGTGCAGAGTAGCCCACTGCTGTTCCAGAAGGACATGTGTCTCCTGTAACCTCTGTCGTAACCTGCCACATGTGAATGTCTTGGACACTCCAGGGTATCTCAGATGGCAATTGAGTTGAGCTCTTCAGCTGCTCAGCTGGATGAATCTTCACGCATCATTGATTATATTGTCCATGACTCTTAGTAGGACCTTATTTCACATATGGACACTCAAATGTAGATATCCTCACCTCAGACTGAATCCCACCTATACAGTCAAATATAGATATAAATATAAAATTTCAATGGGTGAATTTGGTGTAATATTATTAGATTACTTCCAAAAATTGTATCATATGTGATACTTATAAGTGAAGACTGAAAACTAAATGCTGGTAATAATGATGAGGCACAGGTCTCAGTGGGTGTGATAGCTAATGGATTTTATCAGAAAATACTGGATAAAAAAGACGGAATGCTGTTTTAGACTTTGAAAATCTGGAAGAACATTGCAGAAAAGCCAGTCATAAAAACCATCAGATCAAGTGACCGTGAATTCATTTGTTTTAAATTAAATATGTATTTATTGCTCAAGTTTTCTGTAAAGGCAGAAACAATAAAATGCAGGACAAAGGAAGAAATAGCTAATGTCAGCGAGTGCTTGGAAGAGGAAATGACACCAACCAAATCCTGATAAAAACTCAAGGAGCTGGATATGCTTAGATAGAGGGAAAATGGGTAAATGGGTAATCCGTACCTTAGGATTCTGAAAGAACTGGCTTGCTACATCACTGATCTGATAGCAAGTGGTTTTAATAAAGCTGTGGATGATGACATTGTATGCACTGGAGAAAAGCAAATTATTTTTTTTTAGTTTTAAGATAAGGAAAGAAAGGAATAATTGTTGCAAAACCAGACTGAAATACAGATTTATTAGAAGTGGCTCATGGCAGGCAAACTTGTTGACATTGTGTGATGAGACAACAGATTTGTTGTCACAATAAATATAGTAATCTTGTTCACTGTGACCTCTGATAAAGATACTGTGTCACTTAGGAGGTGGGTGATTAATTTGGAGAAAGTGAAAATTAGATTTGTCGAAGGAGTAAAGAGCTGGAAAATGGAAGATGATAGCAGTGACTAGTAAAGGAGGCTGCTTGGGAGAGTACAAGCAGAGTTCTTCCAGGACAAGGTTTAGGACTAATCTTAACATTTAACACGTGACCTTGATACACAGAGAAGAAATGGATTATGCTAACTGTCTCCTGATACCAATCATGTAATATAATAGGGATCCAGATGTTGTTTAGAAACAGAATGACTGAAGACTAGATTATTAAAAATGAGATTAAAATGTAATACTGTAGACCAAAGGATTTAGGAAATAGTAAACAAATTCTGTTATGAATTGAGAGCTGATCACCTGGACATAGCTGCAGAGAAGAATCTGGCTGTTCTAGCTGATCCCATGTTGACTGTGAACCATCACTGTGCAGCTGTGAAAGAGGAAAATGCAATCCTAAAATTTCTCTATACATATCTATAAGCATTACGGACATCGTTCAAGGCAGTGAGATGGCTTCTGGGGTACTGCATACTCCAGTACAGTTCTGTTCTCCAACCGTAAGAAGGTTGAGCTCCAGCCTGGTGTACAAAGGGGTTACTGCAATGATTAGATGAAAGGACAGCCTGCTGTGTGAGAGGCCATTTTTAAAACCTCAGCTTATTTATCATAGTAAAATGAATGTTGAAAAAAGATGTTCCTGTTCTCTGTCTGTGCATGCTGGGGGCAAACACCAGGGAGGAAGAAGAGCAGTTATCTTAAAGATAATTTTGATGCAAGAACAAACAGGTGTAAACTGACCTTGAATAATCTGAGGCAAGGAATTAAAAAAGCCATCTGATGTTAGAGCCTCCCAATAAGCATGTCTCTACTGGATGGAATGGATCAATTTATGAAAGGGATTATGAGAAGCAGTTTCCTGTGTTAGTAATGGTTAGTAATGCCAAAGAACTGGCCAGTCCCAGTAGCCAGAAATGGACTCTACCACTGTTACTCCAGCTCATCCCAATTATAGACAAGGTAAATGGCTACACACCTAAGACAGACAGTCTCCCCACAAAATACTGCTTTCTGGCCAAGTTGTTACAGGTTACCTTGGAGATCTCATGTGCCTCTTCAGCCAGTCCAGCAGCTCTCTCAGCAAGTGGTTTGAAAATGGATGTGCAGGTGAGATCTGAAGTCTTCCTCCTACTAAAAAGGAGCCATCAGAGTGAACTGGTTAGAAGTAAGGAGCAATTCTGGCTGGTCATTACAAGATGACTTTGCTAGCCCGTGGAGGAGTAGCAGCATGGAAAAACATATCTGTATCATTTTAACAGTGAAAATGTGTAGTGCGTAACTGATAATTGTAGCATATGGTTAAATTGCTTTTGTCTCTGCAGTGTGCCAGCCAGAACCGTGTAAACAAAAAGTGCAAAAGAAGCAAATAGAATGACAAACATCATAAAGCTTGAAGAATAAGGCCTATGGTGATGGTATCTTTATACAGAATGCAAATATTTGTAACACATTGTTTCATTTATAACCACAGGGTGCCTTAAAGGAGGTTCTTAAACAACTAGAAGAAGAGAAGAAAAGTCTCCAGAATCAGCTAAAAGACTATGAACTTAGACTGGAACAAGAAGCAAAAGTTTGTAATCACTGTATGCCTCTAATCTATAAAAGCCATTATTTTGTCTGACAAGCAGTCAATGTGTGTGGAACACACAGTATAATAATTCCACAAAATATGTCACTGGAAAAAAGCTCTTCTGTATATTTCTTTCTTCCTGTATGATTCGACTTTAAAAATATTTTTTCTTAATGGTAGCCTATATCCCTTATTTTAAATGTAGGCTTACCACAAAGCTAATGATGAGCGGCGCATGTACCTCTCCGAGATCTTGCAGGTAAGAAAAAAACTGTGCAACTCAGTAACTTCTGAAAATCATTATGCTTTCTTAATATAGCAACAGCATCTGTTAATGCCATTAGGTCAAAGTTTTTTATTACTTCATTCATCTACCAAATCCATTACAAAAGCTGCTTATTAAAAATTTTAAGAGCTAGAAATTGAAAGATTGCTACAGCTTATTTATTTTTAAATTTTGTTTTTTGCTTTTGTATCAATTGGAGTTTCATTGTTCCCAAGGACAGTCAAAGTGCCTTTAACTGAGAAAGCTGAAGCAATTTTCTGATACTCGCTTGCCCATCCATTAGTCACAAGACTGCTATGCTAGTTTAATGTTTCAGTTGAAAAGTACAGAACCAAATTACGAGCAGTAGTGACACCCACCTTAAGTAGCAATTCCTCTTTTTCATATTTCCTTTTTTCTTTTAAAGACAGACTAGCCAGCCAGCTCAGAATGCCAATACAGCACATATTTCAATTAAATTTATAAGATAAGGGATAAGATACCTTGTTTTTGTGAAATCAGAGGTTAAGTTTTATTGCTGCAAATTATGTAATACATAAAAGTTGGTACTACAAACTGGAGGTACCTGTAAAGGAACCTGTAAAGATTTCTAGTATTTCTTATGCTGAAAGAGCTCGTAATTCCTGAATAATGTGAAGGTAATAGCTTAGTGTGATACTCAGGAATGACTGTCACTGAATCCCTGTCATAGCTAACTGGGGTGAAAGGCTGTAATTAGCAGTGTTTCCATGTGCTTGCACAGTGGGCAACTGATTCTTTTATGTGGTTCATTGCTGCTTTGGGAAATCTGAAAGAATTGCTTAAACTAACTTTCCAGCATGAAACCAAGAAAGAGCCCAGGAAATGCCTGGGATAACTGTTAATATCTTTGCATTAACAGTGAAACTGGGAACTGCTGGAGCAGGAAGGTAGGAAATAAAAGACAGTTTTGTGTCTGAACATGCTAGCAAGAGGAGTGCCCATGTTCAGCTGCCTAGAAAGGCACTTTAATATGCATAAAACATTATTTGAAGTGAGGTATATGCACTGGCATGTTGCTTAAATGGGGCATTTGGGACTAGGATTTTGCCACCAACACTTAAGGTAGGTAGTGCATTATATTTTCAGTAATCAGTTTTTTGCCCCTATGATTTCAGAATCATGACAGCAAAATAATAATCTTCAGATTAATCTCCCTATCTTTAGTTCTCTGAATGTTAAACAGCCAATCTAAAGAAGTTGTAGGGGGATCCTCTGTAATCTGTGGAGAGAGAAGCATATTAAAGGTGCAAACCATCACATCTGTTTTAGATCAAGATGAAATGAATTTCCCAGGGACCTGTCTCTCTTCCTGAGCTATAGGCAGAGCCTAGGTGAGTAGTTTAGATTAGACATCTACCTTTTACACTGCTGATCTGAACATGGCAGTCAACCTTATCATGGGTGACTGCTGAGTGCAAAAGTCAGTGGCTCATCTGGCCCCTTCAGGTCCTCTGCTGCTATGACTTTGATTTGACTGTTGCGTTTACATTCTTTTAAAATCTACCTATATATGCCCTCCCTTTGAACAGTTTATTTTAATAATAGAGGCAGAAGTAAACTTATATTCAGTCCAGACTCTTTCAAATTTATTATAATTTCACTGCCTGCACAGTAATGTTGGCAGCAGTTGAGTTAGAAGGATTTACCCATAGACTAGCATTTTTCATAGAGTCTAAAGTAAATATACTACAGGATATTGTTATCCTGTGACAACAATATATTCCAGAGACACTCTTTTAATTACAGAGAATGGATGTAATTTTTTAGGCCTTTTTTCCTCATTATGTTTGTGCTTTTCTATAGCTCACAGTAAAAAAAAAAATAATGGAATGGAGGTTTTTACTGGTAGGTGTTAAAGAATCCCAGATGTTTGGAGGGTTTTTCTACTTTGTTTTGCATCCCTCTTGAAGCCTGTGGCAAAAGCAGAAGAGAGAGATGCTTCTGAGCAGCCATTTCCTTTATTTACCTTTTTTATTATCGAGTGCTTTTTGCTTTTTTACAAAATAATGTATCTTCTGAGTGCTTTTGTTGTTTGCCTTGTCTGGATCCATAAATATATAGTCAATTTAAAATGATAGTTTTAAAATAAATTAAAGATTTCACAAACTGGAGAACTCATGCTAGAGGCACCGATGGTTTATGGTGTATTCTTGTTTGCTTTTTTTGCTTTGTTTTCAGTGTGAAAAAATGTTGGTTTGGGATTTGGACTCCACAAATCTCAAGGCACTTTCTGGTGGTGTTCAGAAATTGGTTTGAGAAGCAGGCAAAGAAGAACAATAGCAGATCTTTAAAAGGGATGTTCTTTCAGGCCAGATTCTTACCACAAACTTTTACTAGCGTAGTAGAGTCTGATTTGTGATTGGGATTTCTTTGCAGAAAAAGCCCACAATTATGGAAAGCTGGTTGTGCAGCAACGGCTCATTTTAGTTGGGATAGGCCTGGAGTAAACTGTACCAGCAAAACCAGTGCTACGGATAATAATCCTATATACTGGAACGCTGCGTTCATATAAATCAAAAAAACAGTGAATGCAATCGTATCATAGGTCTTGCCTCATGTGTCACAGAATCACATCTGCTCAGAAAGATGATAAAGTATACTAGACATCATTTTTAATACTAGAGTTCCTTCAGTGCAAAAACTTTCTTGCCTTCAAGGAAGTAAATCTGTGCAGACCCTACTCCATTTTTATGCTTGCACTCTGAAAAGACTCTGTTTTAGTTATAGCTGGCTTTGCTATGACTGGGTCAGGAATACTTGCCTGGTGCGTTGTATACATGGAAGCACAGTAGAAACCATTGTCTTATCAGCAGTGAGACAGGCTGCTTTTCAGTGCCAGAATTTTTTCTCACAAGTGCAAGATGTTTTCACACATGCTAAAAAATATAATGTTGTAATATGTAATGTAATGTAATAATCCAAACCTTGAGCCTTGTTTAGGTAGCCCAAAAATACTGCTGTAGGCTTTCAAAAAGTCTTCACTGGCCTGCTGTGGCCGATACATCGTATATCATGATTATAATGTATTTGTTACATGGTCCTGATGGATCTGTCTTTAAAGGGGCAGAGAAAATTCTGTTCTCTTACACTAGACACCCAAGTGTGCACAGCAGCCAGACAAGTCCTAAACCTTCTGAACTTCTGTTTTTCTGTCCATGGTATAGAAGTAGTTTTAGTAAAGGCAGCTGGATGAGCCAGCAAGTGCTGGGTGAGGAGGGAACCCTGTGAGCTATGGATCAGGAGAAGCAACTGATTTAATTCTGCTCAGATTCTATTAAATGCAATACCAAGGGTAACAACTTGGGGTTTTTTCAGTATGTCCAGTAATGCAGAATTCCAGAGCATGCAAAGATTTCCATGCTGTATTAATTTTTTTAAAGTGGTTCCTTGTCTTAATTAATGGTTTAATCATTCAAAAGTACAACTAAGTTACTATAATTTGTTTTGTTTCCCATTCAGGGAAGTATGTTAGAAATACAGTGCTGCTTCATTGAAAATGTGGAGTTATAGGCAGTGTGACCAAAAATATACTGATTGAAATTACATATTTGCTGATAGTCCATCTTAATAAATAATGGTATTTTTGCACAGCAAGGGATTTTGACATGTGTTGTATTTCCCAAATCAACAAGGCACCAGTATAACATGTGCTTAAAGTACTCCATATTGGGTCAGAATTAGTTTGGAAAAAGTTTAGTTCTTTATCTGTGATTGTGGTTAGAATTTAACTTGTTTTGTAAAAATTTGGCTATTGCAGACCTCAGCTACACTTAAAATTGGTGAAAGGCAAAAACCAGATGCTCTGACAGGCAAGGGAGAAAACCAGATACTGAGGTAAATTTCCTTTATACTCCCTCTGTTTTCTGGTTTATTATTTTTTGCTAAGTACTATGTTTTGAATATTGCAACTCTCTGTTCACGGTAAATATCACTGAGCATAATGCTACTGACAAAGTATTAATCTTGACATACTTTTTGCTACTGCTTTTCAATCAGTTTTATTTAATACTTAGTATGTTGCAATATTGAAAATACGTATATTTAAGTGGCCTTTCTGAAACCTTACAATACCTCTGATGTTCTTCCCTTTCAACCTGTGTTTAAAATGGGTCTTTTTTTTAGCTATTACTACAGAGTTGGGAGCAACAAGTATACTCTTTAGTCCATTAAGTGTAATTCAATTAAATAATGCTTTGCTTGGTCCTTTCTAGCCAATAGAAATTGTAAAGCTTTTTGTGGATGATAATGTGAGTGATTTTAGTTGACAACATATAAAGGCTTCATTGTTTAACAGATTTAAATTTGAAAAGAGCCCACCTGCTCTGAGCTATATAGAAATAAAATTATTTTCTGATTGTAGTGCTTATGAGAAGGCTTGGAATTGGAGGAGATTTATTTTTTTAACTGAGCTGAAAACATTAAGAGTATAAAGTACAAAGAGTATAGGGAATCACATCAAAAGTGTGTTGGGCCCAGTACCCTGCCTCCAGTGGCCATAAGTAGATGCCTACAAAAGGGTGTAAGCAGGCACATACAATATTTGCTTTTGGAACTCTCCCAAATACTTTATATTTGGAGACTTCCTGAGCTATTATGGTTTCTATGTATTTAGTATCTCACAGTAAATACTCGTCCATGAACCCACTTACCTATATTATTAAAATGAGCATACACAATACATACTGGGAACATCTGAAAATGTAACGAGTAAATTATAAACATGAAATTGTGCAGACATATTTGCTTACCAGCTCTATCCTTTCATTCCATGTAAGCACAGAATCACAGGATTTCATAAATTGGAACAGTGGATCTTCATGCTCCGGGAGATGATATTAGTAAACTATGAATTAATGTAGTACAATATGAATTAAAGTCTATAACTGAAGTTTCTCAATACAGAAAAAGCACTGTATGGATCTGAGGTACCCCATGTATAGCCTGTGTGTTGCTTCAGGACCCACTGATGTTTAACATAGCTCATGTGGAGAAGGTCAGGAAGCTCAAACTATGGGAATTCACTGTCTGTGCAGGGAGGTTAAATAACATCAGCCAGATACTAAGATTTCCTGAGGGTTAGCACTGATCTGTGATTATGTTGGGGTTCTTTCGTATGTATTTTACTTTAATGGACCATTACTTGCCCTGAAATTATATGACAGTGTGTTTTTGTAATTTTCTTTATATCAAACAAAAGAAAAGAAAGTGTAAAAGAAAATAGTGTCCCGCAATTGCTCATTTCAGAAGATGCATACTGTAACAGCATACCCCTTTCAATCCATTTTCCCTCAGAGGATATTTTTTTAACTTTGAAAAGTACTTTACATGCCTGAAGGGAATTGTTTATCTTTTTAATTGTCCTTAGTAGCAAAGGACACAGTTTGCAAAGTATTGGCTTTTATAACCAGTGACTTAGAACTTCCAGGTAAAACTTTGGTCTTAGTTGGCAACATGGAGATAAGAATGGGGATTTGGCATAGTCTGCATTTTAAGCAAGTACTAGAATGTAAGTAAGCACCCCTTGATCATCACAAGGTTAACACAGCCATCATTACATTATTCCTTTTTAATTATGTTTTGATTTACAGCCTGAAGGTTGTTCACTCAAGCTGACATTAAAAAGAAATAATTTCATTCAAATAAGAGAAGAGCTGCATGATTGAAAATAAATGTGTTCTTGAGAATAATTTGAAAATTTTCTGTCCAGAGTTCTTATCTCACTTCTGTTGGCCCTTCAGAAAATGCCTGCCTTCACTGGATTTCAAACCATACTAAGAAACTATGTTTAATGTTTGTTTTAGCTATAGGTACAAGTATGGAAACCCCAACCTATATATTAAAGCAATACTGAAACATTTTTGAGTAGTAATTGTGAATGCTAATTGTTGATGCATTCAGTTTCCTGGCCATCCAAACATAGAAGCCAAGTTCAGTAGAGGTCCTTTTTATGGTGTTTCACAGGACAAGAAGATAGGCTAGCTGACAACTGGGAAAAAACACGGATGTCTTGATGACTCATGCGTCAAGATGATGCAATCTGAGCAGCCAATTTAATGTCATTCTGAGCCCTCACTGTTACACTGAGGTGTACGGCAGGGCTTATTAGCTCAGTTTCCGCACTGCACTGGCTGCAGCTACCTGGCTTCTAAGTCTCTAAGTCCAGCTGGCTTTGAGTGGAAAGAGGTTTTGACACCTGCAGTATTCCACACAGAATGCTGTGTGCTTGGTCCAGCTCTACAGTGACCTACAGATCAATCGTTTTTGAGTAATCAATTGATTTGAATTTGAATAATCAATTGATTATTGAGCAAACTGGAGCCCTGGATTCTGATCTTCCAAGCTCTGAGTGGAAACAGCTCCACATCTCTATGGGAGCAGCTGTCCCTTCAAGACCATGACAGCTTCTACGAGCTGGCAGAAAGGATGTGTCAATCTCACGAAGACTAGCAAGCCCTAGGGACAACTTTGTTGGCTGTTTGCCCAGAAATTTGAAACTTGCACAGATCATGTCATCGCAGCTTCTACTGCATAACAAAATATTTCTCTGGCTACCATCATGCATCTAATTATCCGATGTTCTGTATATTTCCCTTCAGAATGCCTATTACTTGAGAAAGACATTGAAACCCTGTATATTGTCATTAAAAAAGTGCTGTCTGTCCACTGTAGTTATGGACAGGGAGAGAAACAAATGTACGTTGCATGAGAGTAGAGATGCACGCTGCTTGATTGTGAGAATGAGCCTTCCAGTTTGTGGAATCACCATTTCCCCCCTGGAGATTTGTTTGCGTTCCCACTGATTTCTCTCAGAAGATCAAGATGAAAACAGCTCTAGTAGGGTTCATGTAGGTGGTGTATGTATCCATGATGAGTACCACTTCAGAAGTCTGCTGGCAGCATTTCCCATGTAAGATCATGGGCTCAAGAGCGTGGGTCTCCAGAGTGGAATACCTGCAGAGAATTGTAACGACATCTACATGAAGTGTTTTTCCATTTCCTAATGGGGATTATGTGATTGATGAAAATGTCTCCTTAGCCAGTTATCATTGTCTTTGTGCAAATGTTTAGTATTCTGTTCATGTTCTTCAAATGCCATCATTTAGGTAACAGGAAGTAGTCAGGAATCGTGAGATGAGGATTTAATTTTATGCAACATAATTAGATGCTCTGCTAGCCTGCGAACCCAGAAATATACTTGTTTTTTCCTCTCTTGGGTTTATTAATTGACAATAGTAATCAGTTATGCAAATATAAAAAGTATGCAGATTTCTAGCAGTTAAAGCTTACAGGGAATGTTACACTTGATGACTGACTTCAGCCATTTTATTTCAGAGCGAGATACAGTGTTCCAGGAAACCCGAAGATGGTTAATCCCCCAAAAGGATCAATTAAAAAGGCCGTGGGAGTGAAGCAGCTTCCAAAACTAAAGCACTGATTTAATATTAATGCCAAGAACTTCCAATCACTTTTCAAAAAATTTAATTTAACTGAAAGTTTCTAAATTGAAAATGAATGCATTGGTGCCATATTATAATACCAAAGCCAGATCGGCGTGTCTTCTTGGAAGCCTTAATGTAGGTGTTCCTCTGCCTAACAGAATTGTTCTCCTAGTTTGTTCTGGTGATCTCTCACCCTTTCCATTCTGGTTCTCATCAGTGATTCTGGGTGTCAGGGAGTTGGAAGCCTTGGAAAACATTTCATTTCTTTATACACTAGGTAGATCCTTGAACTCTTTGACTGCACAGCAACCATTGAAAACAAACAAGCTTCTAACACTTTTGACCTCTCAACCAACAGGAAGAAAAAGGCAGATTGATGTAACCTGAAATATTATCTCACTGCCCAAAACAGTAAATCTCAGATAAAATTCCATCCAAGGGCATCCCCGTTCAGTATAGGCGCCAAAGAGAGACTTTTAAGTGGTCTGATGGCGGTACAGCTGAGTGTGCCTTTCATTTGGCTTTTAAAAAGTCCGGCAGCATAGTTTACTGGCCAGTCTGATTTCTTACATGATACCACACCATAGAGTGCCTTTACAGTATAAAGTTGTTTTATATTCCATAAGCTTTCTTACTCTAGCAGAGAAGACAATACACCTCCAAATAAGAACTTTTTTTAAAACTGGCTTGCCACAGATCCTGTGTTGACCACCACTTTCTGTTTGCGTGGTTTAGAAGCACAGCACCATTTCCAGCTGCTTTAGCCAGTAGTAATGGGGGGAAATGAAAGAAAAATTGAGTGTTTTTTATTAAAGATTCTTCAGAGCCTTTCTTGTGGAAGGGTTGTTTATTTTAAACACTATATACACATTATGTTTCCTATTATTGGTATGTTGCTATTTGGAATTAGAACTCTCAGATGAACCTTTGTATCCACAGTCTGAGCTCCATAAAAATCTCTTACGTATTCTTCAGTGGCACTGATCCGTGTATTTTTAGGGTCCAGAATAGTGCCAGTCTCTCAAGTCATCTCTCCAATGAAAGCAGAACTACCTTGTGTTTTCATTCTTAAGCATGCAATTATTGTTGCAGTTTCATTACCTACATTTTAGTCATTAAACTTCAGCAGAATTTTTTTAAGTGGCAACAGGAAAAATGTTTTGGTAATGAAGCTTCAAGCCTCTGGGTTACATCTTAAAAGCTCTTCACAGAGCAAATGTGATTGATTGTCTGCCCTTTAATATTTTTAAGAGCATCCCTAGCTCTTTGCAGTGGCTAATAAAGCTTTTTGCCTCTTTAAGAGCAGTACTAATAGTTCCTTATTACTGGCAGCATGAAAGCCAGGCTGTAATTAAACACATACAAAAAGATCAGTGATGTCATTCTAAAATGCAGAGAAAGACGACCTGCAGTATTGTACAGCATATTCAGTATGGAAACCCCATTTTTTTTCTCTTGCATAGTATGAGAGTTATTACAGATATTTCTAAGGTTACCGTGATGGCACCTGGTATCGTTCTTTCATACGCAGGGTGGTCTGCCTGGCCAGTTTTTTCCCCACAGTCACAGTTGGAAGCATAGCACAGCTGATTAGGTTAGCGCTCTTCTGTTCCTGTTTTTCACATGGAAGGTTTCCAAATTTTGATTGTGCTGGCATTTGGCATTGTGGAGAAGGAGAGGGAAAAAAATCGCCATAATGGTCCTATTGGCATAAAAGACAAGGGACATCTGCAGCAGTGAAGAATATCCAGTTCTTGGATTCACGCAGCAGACATTTACTACTGCTGTCTCTGAATCAAATGTTAGTCAGTGCTCTCAAGTCCGGTCCCTGTAGCACCTCAGAATAACTGGAAACACTGCAGAAATGTGGCAGAATGGCATTTATTCACAGCAGGAGACTTAGACGCTTCTCTCATGGGTAGGCCTCACTGAGGACTTAAAAAGAGACTTTTTTTGAAGCCTAAGAAGCTACATTTATTGGTACAGTTTGGTACAGTAATGGCCTGCGGAGAGGAGCAGGCTAGGTACTCCTTAGTCCCTGCTTCAGCTTGCCAGGGACAAGCTCAGGGTTTGAAACTCAGCAGTATGATAATTAAACCCAAAAACATGTGTTTGGCCATTCTAATGGTGTGTCCAGCTGTAATGTTTGCTGGGCAAAATGGTTATAGTTCTGTACTTTTTAAATCACTTGGCATTTCATTTTCCTCCTGCCATTCTGAAAATAGGGGCACCCCAATGATTTAAGTTTGATGACTCAAGTTTCTTTGCAACAGCAAAAAGATAGTTTTTGGTTTCAAAGATGTTTTGGACCTGAATAAAACTTTTTCACTAGCGCTGGCCTTCCCAAACCATGTTGGAGTTTTTTGTTTGGTTTGGTGGTTTTGGATGGACGACTGGTTTGAAATTCCTGGGTTTATCTTGCACGGACTTTTCTCACTACTATTATGCTGTGCTGTGAAAAGGGCTTTGTTTACATTTGCAGCAATGAACAGCTACGTGTCTTTTTACAGTATCTTCTTCATGAATATTTCAGCACAGTTAGGAGTAATTAATCCTTCAAAGCACAATATGTACTATCATTCTCATTTTAGGCCTAGAAGACTGAATCACAGAGCTAGGTTTATTTAGACATGGGAGTGTAGCGATGTCTGGTTTTTCCCTGGTTTTGTGACTGATCTTTTATAATGTTGCTAACCGTTACAAGGCAAATTCTGTCTCCTCTAAAGTCTCTGTGCATCATATTCTAAACAGTGGGCAAATCCAAAGACACAAATGGGGAACTGAGTTGCTGATAGTTGTGGTCAGTGAGTGAAAGGAGCTCAGCGTCAGAAGAAGCTGGGATTAGAGCTGAAGGTTTGAATCTGGCCAAACTTTTTCCTGCAGCACAGAACATAACTGGGATTCCAGATGTACTGGTTGTAATGTGTAAGTGCCTTTAACTGATGGACTGAGAAATCTGATATCCTAACTCTTGGGACTTGAGAGTATGCTTCCCTTACGTAGTTACTCATGTAACTCCACTGCTTTCAAATGAGTCATGATTTTGAGGTAACGATGGCATTTTAAGTATTTACTTGTATTATTGATGGAAAATCTGAATTAAAAATCTCAAATGCTGTTAAGAAAACATTTCTTATTTCCTGAAATACCTTTTTTTTTTAAAGTCTCATGATTTAAGGAGATATTGAGTTGTGATTTTTCTTTTTAATAAATCAGTATAGCACCACTGTATTCCTCTATGATAGAATAAAATTAAAATGTTTACTGGATAGGCATTGATGCATTGACTGTGTGGTTATTATGTAATTATGCAGCGTAACCACAGACTCCACAGAACTCGGGTGATGAGCTTTCCTCATATTCAGGATATTATTAACAATAAGCAAGATATTTCATTGCTTAACTACTTTGTTTAATGGGTTCTCCATATAAATGACTGACTAGGTGGTACAGTTCACAGCTGCCCCGATTCCTATGATATTCCATCTCCACTGGTTAAGATGAGATACATAATTTAGTTTTAATGCATTTCCACTAGTGGAAGGTGCTGCCCAGGCATTTTTAGAAATGTGATTCAGACCAGTAGTGAGCAAATAAATAAATAAATAACCCCCAAACCTTTCTGTTATTAAGCTTCTGCTGTTGCTGCCAGACTGGTGTCAAACATAAACAGTAATTTGAACTAACTCTGTTTGGAAGCAGAAGTAAAGTGCGTGGATGAAAATTGCAGCTAATTGTGACAGTTTTATCTCTACATACAAGTGTCACAGTAATGGCAGACATTTCTAGACCAGATAATGAGGCTTTTCAAAGGTGGTAGTATGTCGTGTAACGGGGCAGATCAGTTTAACCCTCCCTTCCAAAGGTACAACCGTTGTATGTAGTTCCTTGTAGGTTACAGCTTGGAATCCAGTTCTGAACTTCATTAACCAGTCCCATGAACTACTAAGGACCACGCAGCACCCAAACACGTATGTCACATCCCCAGGAGCAGCATGCAGATGGGACCTGGCTTTCCCTATGGTTCTGCGTGCAAACCGATGCACCACCGCACGGAAAGGGCTCGGACAGGCTCTGCTGTCCTTTCAGCAAGAACCAACGACAGCTGAGCCTTCGGAATGGGTTTAACCTCTGCACCCATCCTGGGCACTGCCTGTCACACAGGTGGCGTCCACCACAGTCCTCTCCTCCATCTGGCATGCTCTGTGTAGCTGGCAGCATCCTCTTAAAAAAAGACTGCCAAGGAAGAAGTTCTTTACAATGAGGGTGGTGAAACACTGGAACAGGTTGCCCAGAGAGGTGGTGGAGGCCCCATCCCTGGAAACATTCAAGGCCAGGTTGGATGGGGCTCTGAGCAGCCTGATCTAGTTAGCGGTGTCCCTGCTCACTGAAGGGGGGTTGGACTAGATGACCTCTAGGGGTCCCTTCCAACCCAAAACATTCTATGATTCTATGATTGTAAGACTCCACCAGCTTTCTCGTGGAGAACTGTGATGTGTTTTGTGTCCTCTGGCTGGCAGAACAGGTAGCAGCTAGCTGGCTTGGCCGTGCTCTTGCCATTATTTTACAGAAATTTCCCATGGTGCTTGTGACTCTCTTTACCAAACTCTCAGACATCCTTTCTGTGACCAAAGATTTTGGCCTAACAGCAATGGGAAGAGAGATGTATGCCTGATGGTAGTAACAGGGTAACAGGAGTTGCACTCTGTCCACCCATGGTACGGAGCTGAGGGCTGAGAAGGATATCAGCCTGCTCCCCTTAGCACAGGATAGTTTGAAGCATCTCCAGTTCTCCCTCTAGAAAAGCAGATTATTTGAGGGGGACTACCCCCAGCTGAAGTTCCCTTGCCCATTATAACCAGGGACAAAACAGGGCTGAGAGCACAGTACTGGCTTGTTGTAGATGCTTCAGCGCACCTAGGGGCTCATCAGCTGCTGGTGCTCATGCCCAGGGGTACCTGGGCAGTTCCTACCTTAGAGCTGGGCTTCCAGATGTAGGCAATGCAGTTTCTTCCAATTTTGCAGCTAGGAGTGCTCTGTTGCAACGGCCTGGGTTGTGTTTGAGGATCACCACTACTCCATCAGCATTCCGTATCAAAGACTTCCTTGGTGCTGCCTTCCCTGACGTAAGCAGCAGAGCTTCATTTTCAGGCTGGTAGAGTTTCTACGCTCTGGTTTCCATGTAACTTCCTCACCCCTCCCTTTGTTGCCTGGGAGAAGGTGAACTCTGCTTCAGGAACCCATCTGTAAGGTGGGAAGATGGGAATGTTTCTGGTGCTGAAAAGTCATATGAAGATAAAGACGCCAGTGCTGGAAGGAAGCCAACTGGTAAAAAACACAACGAGCCTAAGTAAGCCTGACATAAAGCAAATGGGTCTTCTTTTGTCTCACAATGAAAATGGGTAACGTTGGTGCTATGTTGGTGCAGGAATTTAACAGCTGTGGCTGCTGCATCTTACTGAAAAGAATTGCTGGTAAAAATTCATGTTGGGGTATTTCCCAAGGAACACAGCCCAGCAGTGTCACCGGCTGCTGTGCAAATCTTGTCAAAGGGAAAAATGTCAGCCATGAAAAGAGAAGGACCCCTTGTGCGGTGTGGCCGAGGTCACGCCGCGCTCCCCCGACGCTCCGTACCACAGGCGCTTCCTCCTGCAGCTGTCCCATCCCTCCTCACGGCTGGCAAGTGCCTGGCGGGGAATCTGCTAAGGAATGATGTGGTGGAAGGGAGGAAGGCGGGCTGGGGGGGCAGAGGCACAGCTGAAGGGTTATTCT